GATTTTTGTTTTCTTTAAAAAAGATTTCACAAAAAACTTCTTATTCACTTGGTCTTCGATACAAAATTTAGTTTTAAATTATTTTCTTTAACTAACGGTTGTTTAGCGGAAAGTTGTTTTTATAAAAATTTTAAATTTTTATTAAAAAAATACGTATTTTAAAAATGGAAACCCCTTCGGTAGTTCATCGTTATCGCAATAGTTTTTCTATAGAAAATATTCTATCAAAACCCAAAGCGGTTAGTGAAGAAATTAATCATAAAAATAACTATGATTTAAATTTAACAGTGCATGATAGTGATCACTGTAGTGATCATTTAAATAGTGATCGTGAAAAATTACATGGTGTAGTTGGTGGTGGTATTGATATGAGAGCTTCAAGTCCTGAATCGAGTTTTAATGAGGATAATTTAGATGATGCTAAAAGTGATATTACCTCAGAAGATGATCATGGTAAGTTAGTAATGATTTAGTAGAATTTGAAGTTAATTAAGAATCTTGGGTAAAAGTAATAAATATTTCTTTATAAAAGTTTAATTAATGGATCATGGTATGAGTGAAATATTTCCATTGAATTTTAAGAATATAGAAATTAGGAAGTCAGATACTATTATAAAAAAAAATTTATAATGTTTGTTTAATTTGGAGAAGGACGGCCGTTAATTTTAAAACAAAGTTTCGCAAATGATTAATATATTTAGTTTAAAAAGAGGATATATGCTACATCAAATACAACAAATAAAAGATCACTTTAAAAACAATACAGACGTTAAAATGCAATATCTCCTAATTTTGACCTGATCTTTCTATGACCTAAGATAAAAATTCATCTGTCTCAGAGTATTCTAAATCATTTAGAATTTTCGAATTGTACAAGAAAGAATGAGAGGATTCCCCATATGTGAAAAATACTAAAATGCTTATATCCCGGAAACTAAAACAGTTAGAGTTCACAAATTTTTTACAGTAACCTTAGTATCTCATATAGAATAAAAATGAGAGGTTAGTAATAGTAGGCATGTCACCTTCCATATGAAATATCGACATTTGGCGGAATATGTATATAAGAACTAAAATTCTCAATTTTTGCCGGAGACACTTTAGTACCAACATAAATTTTTAATACAAAAATGGGCAGAATTTCAGAATTTAATGATTTATGAAAAAAGATTGTTAGAAGACAAAGCGACAGATTCTTAAAACAGGACATGTTTTTATACTAGAATGTTCCTAGTATAGTTTATAGTCCAGTCTATAGTCCAGTCTATAGTCTAGTCTATAGTCCAGTCTATAGTCCAGTCTATAGTCTAGTCTATAGTCTAGTCTATAGTCTAGTCTATAGTCTAGTCTATAGTCTAGTCTATAGTCTAGTCTATAGTCTAGTCTATAGTCTAGTCTATAGTCTAGTCTATAGTCTAGTCTATAGTCTAGTCTATAGTCTAGTCTATAGTCTAGTCTATAGTCTAGTCTATAGTCTAGTCTATAGTCTAGTCTATAGTCTAGTCTATAGTCTAGTCTATAGTCTAGTCTATAGTCTAGTCTATAGTCTAGTCTATAGTCTAGTCTATAGTCTAGTCTATAGTCTAGTCTATAGTCTAGTCTATAGTCTAGTCTATAGTCTAGTCTATAGTCTAGTCTATAGTCTAGTCTATAGTCTAGTCTATAGTCTAGTCTATAGTCTAGTCTATAGTCTAGTCTATAGTCTAGTCTATAGTCTAGTCTATAGTCTAGTCTATAGTCTAGTCTATAGTCTAGTCTATAGTATGGTCTATAGTCTAGTCTATAGTATGGTCTATAGTCTAGTCAATAGTCAAGTCTATAGTATGGTCTATAGTCTAGTCTATAGTCTAGTCTATAGTCTAGTCTATAGTCTAGTCTATAGTCTAGTCTATAGTCTAGTCTATAGTCTAGTCTATAGTCTAGTCTATAGTCTAGTCTATAGTCTAGTCTATAGTCTAGTCTATAGTCTAGTCTATAGTCTAGTCTATAGTCTAGTCTATAGTCTAGTCCATAGTCTAGTCTATAGTCTAGTCTATAGTCTAGTCTATAGTCTAGTCTATAGTATGGTCTATAGTCTAGTCTATAGTATGGTCTATAGTCTAGTCAATAGTCTAGTCTATAGTCTAGTCTATAGTCTAGTCTATAGTCTAGTCTATAGTCTAGTCTATAGTCTAATCTATAGTCTAGTCTATAGTCTAGTCTATAGTCTAGTCTATAGTCTAGTCTATAGTCTAGTCTATAGTCTAGTCTATAGTCTAGTCTATAGTCTAGTCTATAGTCTAGTCTATAGTCTAGTCTATAGTCTAGTCTATAGTCTAGTCTATAGTCTAGTCTATAGTCTAGTCTATAGTCTAGATAGTCTAGTCTATAGTCTAGTCTATAGTCTAGTCTATAGTCTAGTCTATAGTCTAGTCTATAGTCTAGTCTATAGTCTAGTCTATAGTCTAGTCTATAGTCTAGTCTATAGTCTAGTCTATAGTCTATTGTCTAGTCTATAGTCTAGTCTATAGTCTAGTCTATAGTCTAGTCTATAGTCCAGTCTATATAGTCTAGTCTAGTCTATAGTCTAGTCTATAGTCTAGTCTATAGTCTAGTCTATAGTCTATTGTCTAGTCTATAGTCTAGTCTATAGTCTAGTCTATAGTCTAGTCTATAGTCCAGTCTATAGTCTAGTCTAGTCTAGTCTATAGTCTAGTCTATAGTCTAGTCTATAGTCTAGTCTATAGTCCAGTCTATAGTCTAGTCTATAGTCTACTACTCTTTCTGTTATAAACTAGTACTATTTCAGAATTTAGGTTTTCCATACCTGTCACATAGAAAGAGGCAGAAATTCTTCTGCTGGAAATTTGTTCCACATACTGCCGGTACGTTTGAAGGAAGAATTTTCCCTACAATATGCTGCACGGAACACTTGCTAATTGACCACAAATATAAGACTTCTCTCAGAACTACTATCACATCACGTTTTTGAGGCAAATTAATAAATTTAAATTTGGCCACATTTGAGACGTTTTATCAAAGCGGTTTATTTACAAAATTTGTTGTATTGTCTGAAAGTCCAATCTGTCGTCTTTAACATAACATATTTTATAAATAAAGGTGTCTGCTAGTGCTGTCATAGCGTCTCAAATATGGCCAAAGTTGGGAGTTTTTCTATTTTTTGGACACGATATTACTTGATGTGATGGAGAAATTCTAATGCTAGTTTCGGATTCAGTGCAGCTCAATCCTTTTAGAATAGTATAATTTGGTCTCTGGGTTAAACATTTGTTGGCCTGTGTTATTAATAAATTTTTCCCCTGACAAATCCTTACAGAGTTTTATTCAATTATTCAATTTTATTTAAAAAATTATCTTAAAATAACCAAATTTAACTTTAAGTGCATACCTTTTAATTCGCTGTTGCAGTTAGCTTCGTTATCGTTGTTGTTCTCTTTCTTATAAGAAAACAATGGCGGCACTTTTTTTTATTTCTTTGCAAATTCTTATAGGAAAATTTTCGATCGCAATTTATTTATCATTTGTAAGAGATATTCATTTAATAACATAACACTTCACTTATAAAACACTTTAGAAACAATTATTTAACACATTTACATTTGTTACACTTTTATTTTTTATAAAACAATTAATTTTCTACCGGACGTTTGTGTTTAGCAATACACCAACTTAAAATCACGAAAAAAACTAAAGATAATGTAAACAAAACAAAAGCTTAATGCAGTGTTGCATTTTCTGACATGTTACCCGTGCAGGTGGAAGTTTGTATTTAATGGGGAAATATTGTGTAATTTAAGAGGAAATTGAAATTAAAAGGGATTTTTATAATTTTGAAAGGGAAATGGTTATAAATAACAGGAAATAATATTAAATTAGTACTAATAACGTTATTTTAATAAGTTTTAATTGAAAATTTATAAAAATTAAAAAGATATATTGAATATTTTTTAATAATTGTAGAGAAAATTAAAAAAAATAAAAAAAAATTTTTAAAAAATTTACTAAAATTTAATAATTTTTTACATAAATTAAAATATATTTCTGTTATTTAAAATTATCGTATCAAATATTATGAAAAATATATTTTTTTAAAAATATAAGAGTAATTAATGTCTTTGGTTTATAGTTTTTTTGTAAATAATTTAATTTAAATCTGTAAAAAACCCATGAAATTGTCATTCATTTGATTTACAACAAATTCATTTTATTCTAAAACTAATTAAACCATCATGTCGCATTAATTAAAACAGTTCCCTTATATTGAAAGTAATTTGTAAAAATAAATTGAATTTGAAAAAAAACCAACTCAAATAAAATGTGCGTTAATTTAAAGCAAATTATTCAATGTGTTAGAACAAAAAGTTGGCAACGAGAAAATTGCGAAATAAGTTTGTTATTAGTGTGAAATTAAAAAGAAAATCTATATAGACAAAAAAATAAAACATGGCTGATCGTTGATTGCCAAAAACAAATTAATGTTTAAACTTAAATTCATTGGTTGCTGTAGAATTTAAACTATTACAACTAATACAATTGGCTATTTAGATAAAACAAATATTTGATTTTAGAAAATTTTATGGTGTTCACATTTTGAATGCTGAAAGATCAGATACATTATTTTCTTATTATATAAATCTATTAAGTTGTTAATTTTAAAGTTCCTCAAATAATGAGTCTTCTTTTCTGAAAAAGTGGTTTTGGAGCAAAAATCCAAATGCTATTCAAACTATACAATAATGCTGATAGTCTGTTACAAACACTATTCTGAAGCACGATTGCAAAACTACTTTTTATTTAAAGTTACTTTTAAAATTCTTTAAATCTCGAAAATTTATTTAAAAACGGTTTAATTTTAGAAACTGTTTTTTTACATAACTGAGTTTTTACATAAAGTTATTAATTCGTTGTAAATTTGATATTCTTCAGTAATATGTATTTTGAAAAATATTTGATTAAATTGAAGATTTTTTTTAAATATTTTCAAATTTTTGTCTTTTTAGGTTCCAATGATGATCGTAAAAAGCGACCACGTACTGCATTTTCAGCCTCTCAAATTAAGGCTTTGGAAACGGAATTTGAAAGAGGAAAATATTTATCGGTGGCTAAAAGAACTGCATTGGCTAAACAATTGCATTTAACTGAAACTCAGGTATGTTTTTTTAACAAAAAAAAAAACTTTTAATTTTTTTAAAACCTTTATGAAAAAAATGAAAAGATTTTTAAGATCGAAGCCAATTTATTTGTTTCATTGAAATTATTTCAAAAATTTGTTTAAGAGATTATTGTATAAATTACACAAAATATTCTAAAATGCGTCATTATAGTCTGTTCTCGCTCTAATCTGGCCTTAAGTTGAATCATTTTGGCATAAAATTATCATCTTTGGAACTGGTTCTGTTGTTTACTCGATACCCGTCTTATAGAACTGTTCTTTAATCAGTTATATTTGTTCCATTTTTTCACCTCTGAACTTGTTCTAGGGAAGAAAGTTCTATCTAAATTTCAACTTTGACCTTGTGCATGTTCTAAAATTTCAAACCTGGGATTGCAAAATGGAAAGCAGTTTTGGAAACCTTTATGTGATCTTTTTTAATTCCTGAAGTATTTTCCCAGATATGGTCAACATTTGTAAAATATCCCATTTTTGGAAATTTTGTTTAAGTTTTTGGGCATTGCGGGGATTTCCTTTGATCTTTTAAACATTCCATTAAGAATCTAAAACTAAAATTTCTATTAAAATTTAGATAATTTTTCCAAAAATCGATAATAAATTTGAAGCCAATATCTGAATTACGATCTAAAATATAGCAATTTAAAGATCCGTCCTTAAAGAAAAATCTATTAGTAAATAAATATGTATAACTTTTGATCTAAAACAATGACAGTTCTTTAAAAAATCAGGAATTCTTAAGAATATACATTGGCAGCCCTATATCAACGTTCAACTTATCACTTACCACTTGGTTTGAGTCTTAACTTAATATTAAAATTTAGTATCGGCCAATTTTAGGGAAATTTTATAACTTCCACTGCTGATACCTTATTCAAGAAATTGGGAATTCCTTTATAATAGTAGTGGCAACTCTATTAAAACATGTAGTGCTAATCCGTTATCAATTGGTTTGTGTCATCACTAGAAAGCAAATTTTTTCATTAAAACTAGACAAATTAAAAAGGAATGTGTAAATTTTATGATCTTTTTCTACAATTTAAGAACTTTTAAATAATTTAAACTTATTTTACCTTTAACTTCTTTTGCAGATCAAAATATGGTTCCAAAATCGTCGCACTAAATGGAAGCGCAAATATACTGCCGATGTAGAGACCTTAGCTTCACACTACTATGCCCAATTGGGCATAGGAGGTTTAGCTCGTCCCATGGTGGTCGGAGATCGTCTATGGTTATTTAGTCAAACACCTGCCGGTCCTGCACCTCTACAATCCATAATGCTAAATAGTCCAGCACCAGCAAATACACCTGCCTCCGCCATAGCCCCCCTAGCTGCCACCCAGCTAAGAGCTTATCCCGGTTCGGCCATCATGCAACCATCGATAGCCAATGCCAGTGTTATAGAAAGTGCTCGCAATGCCATACTCTCTCGGGGGCAACCTTTAAATTATGCTCTACCTTCATATCTAACACCACGCTCTCCTGCCTCCTCATCATCCACTTCAAATTTATCTTCATCTCCACGATATTTAGATTATGCAGCTGCTTCGAGTCTTTATCAAAGTTCACCAGCTCCCTCTGATTCCTATTTACAAATGAAATATAATGTTTTAAATAATCTAACAATGCCCGAGCCGGAATCACCGCCCACTTCAAATGGTCTGGCCGAATTGGAACGTGTATTTGGTGATACAAATGCTAACTTTTTGGAACATAAATCTTTGAATGGTGAAAAGGGTGGAAATAAAACAGATTTTGGTTTTAATGGTTTGGCGGTAACGCAGCGTTCGGTTAAGACGGGTCATGAAACGGATTCAGAGTGCAGTGATATTGATTGTGAACAGATCGATGATGAATAACGGAATTTACTATATAGAGTTTATAATTTAGGTTAAATTGTTGTCATTATAGAGAAAGCTCAACCCTTTTTATGTTCGAAATAATAAAGTCAAAACATTGTCTAGGCTTCGATCCGTTTAAATGCCAATTTTTTCACTGATTACAAGCAAATTAAACCGGTAAATAAATTGTTTAAAAATATTATAAATTTCACAATGAGTAGGGTATCTTAAGGTTGGCCATAGCCGGCTAAATTTTCTTCTTATTAGTTTTAAGAAATGCAACCAAAGTAAACTATTTATTTTAGAAATGTTAACTATAAAGACTACTTACTCTTAGATATTAATATGTAAAATAACTAAATAAATGTTCCTAGAAATATTTGAATAAAACAAATTGTAAATTAATATTTATATTTGTCTTTGGGTCCTATCTTTCTCAACATACCAATATCGCTTTACCATATCGAAAGCTAATCGATCACGTAAGTATAAGGAAGCAGTTTTCTTTAGAAAACTTTTCGTAGAGGGTTAGTTTTCCATCAAATTAAAAAGAAAACCACATCTTTTCTTTTAGTTGGAAATGTTTATGAACGTATTTTCTTTTTATTTATTTACAATTCATTTGAAAAAGAAGTTTTGTTTTTTTTTGTTTTGTTATAAATATGAATTAGCGCTAATTTAAGAATAGACACAGCAATTATTAATTACGTTTGTTTTTTTACTTTTAACATTTTACAAGTTTTTTTTTTTCTTACAAATACTTATAAAATAAATTTGAAACACAAAACTAGTAGTTGCAAGTTTTTTTTCTTTAACTTTTATTGGTAAACTATTAAATCTATTAACAGCTGCAACTTATTATTTGGAAATTTTATTCATTTTTTGTTTTAACTGAGATTTCTTTGTTAAATAAAATTGTACACAAAAGTTAATGAGGGCTTAAAATAGTAAAAGTTGTAATTTTATTAATTGATGAAATTATAAAATTGTAAATAGCGAATGATAAATTAATAACGCTTTTCTGTTATTAAATGATTTAGAAATCGCAAATGCATTTAATTCTAATGGATTTGTTTACAAACGTTTTTGTAAGATCAGTTTTGTATAGAAAATTTTTTGTAAGATCAGTTTTCTATAATCAGTTTGCTTTAGAAATTTGTTAGTAAGATCAGATTTCTTTAGAAATATTATAAAACACTTTTTGTAAGATCACTTTTCAAGATCAGTTTACATTTTGTTAGATCTTTAGAAACCTTATCAGATCAGTTTCTTATAAGAAACTTTTTGTACGATCAGTTTTCTATAGAAATCTTTTCGCAAGATCAGCTTTTTTTAGAAAACTTTACAAAATCTAAACTGATCTTTTTGTAGGATCAGTTTTCTATAAAAAAACTTTTCGTAAGATTAGTTTTCTATGATGAGTTTACATTTTGTTAGACCAGTTTAGAAATTTGTTAGTAAGATCAGATCTCCTTAAAAATCTTTTCAGAAGATCAGTTTTTTATAAGAAACTTTTTGTAAGATCAGTTTTCTATAGAAATCTTTTCGCAAGATCAGTTTTCTTTAGAAATCTTTTCGTAAGATCAATTTTCTTTAGAAATCTATACAAAATGTAAACTGATCATAGAAAACTTTGCGTAGGATCAGTTTTCTATAGAAAACTTTTCGTAAGATCAGTTTTCTATAGAAAACTTTTTGTACGATCAATTTTCAAAAGAAAACTTTTTGTAAGATCAGTTTTTTATGATTAGATTACATATTGTTAGATTAGTTTGCTTTAGAAATTAGTTAGTACGATCAGATTTCTTCAGAAATTTTCTCATAAAATCAGTTTCTTATAAGAAACTTTTTGTAATATCAGTTTTCTATGGAAATCTTTTCACATGATCAGTTTTCTTTAAAAATCTTAGATTAAGATTAGTTTTCTATAATGAGTTTACATTTTGTTAGACCAGTTTAGAAATTTGTTAGTAAGATCAGATTTCCTTAAAAATCTTTTCAGAAGATCAGTTTTTTATAAGAAACTTTTTGTAAGATCAGTTTTCTATAGAAATCTCTTCGCAAGATTAGTTTTCTTTAGAAATCTATACAAAATATAAACTGATCATAGAAATCTTTCCGTAAGATCAGTTTTCTATTATCAGTATACATTTTGTTACATCAGTTTGCTTTAGAAATTTGTTAGTAAGATCAGATTTCTTCGGAAATCTTTTCAGAAGATCAGTTTCATATAAAAGACGCTCTGTTAGATCAGTTTTCTATAGAAATCTTTTTGTAATATCAGTTTTCCATAGAAAACTTGCAAAAGATCAGTTTTATTTAGAAATCTTTTTGAAAGTTCAGTTTTATATAGAAAACTTTCTGCAAGATCAGTTTTCTATGATCAGTTTACATTTTGTTAGTTCAGTTTGCTTTAGAAATTTGTTATTACGATCAGACTTCTTTGGAAATTTTTTCAAATGATCAGTTTTTTATAGAAAACTTTTCGCAAGATCAGTTTTTTATAGAAAATTTTTCGTAAGATCAGTTTTCTATAATTAACTTATCGTAAGATCAGTTTTCTATTGAAACCCATTGGTAACATTAGTTTTCTATAGAAAACTTTTCGTAAGATCAGATTTGTTTAGAAATCTCTTCAGAAGACAAGTTTTTTTTTCACAATATCAGTTTTCTACAGAAATCCAGATCTATTTTCTATAAAAAGCTTTCTTAAGATCAGTTTTCTATAGAAAACATTTCGTAAGATCAGTTTTCTATAGAAAACTTTTTGTTAGATTAGTTTGCTATATTCAGTTTTCTATAGAAATCTTTTCCTAATATCAGTTATCTATAGAAAAGTTTTGATAAGATCAGTTTTCTTGGGAAAACTTCTCAAGATCTGTTTATTAAAAACAAGTCGCTTTCTTATCATTTAAATTAATCGTTTAATATAAAACAAACACATTTCTATTACAATTATCACTGTATGAGATTTTTTTTTTATAACAAACCCAAAAGGAATGATTACATCTTTTAACTATTTTAAGCCAACATATACATACTAATAATAGTAAATAGTAAATAGAATTAAGAAATTTACAAAAAGCTAATATCAATATAAATGTAAAAGAAACTATTTAATATAAAAGTAAAACTATTGCTTTGCATTACAAGTTCTGTTTAGATTTGTTCTCTTAGGATTTAAAATACAACATCATACATACATAGTAATTAATAGGTGGTCCATTTAATAATTAAAACAAAAAAAGATTTAAATAAAACAAATATACAAAACACATATAGCTGAGAAAATTAACATAGCTTAACTAGTTTAAAACTATTAAATTGTATTCATATTTGGTTGGTCATTTATAAAATTATATATTAAAAGTAATGAGAGATAAAAATAGAACAGAAAACCTACTTAATAGCGAAATGAAAAGGAATCCTATATTGTTGTGGTTTGTTGTTAGTAAATTGTTTTAAATATTTTGTTTTTAGTTTTTGTAATAAATAGAAAAAAGTTAACTAAATTAAGACTAAGAAGTTAAACTTAAAATGATAAAATTCTGTTAGCTCCACGATAAATCATAACCTTTCCAATTGACATTGGGTGCCAAATAGACACGTCTTTTATTAAAGAAAAACGATACAATACCATGATAAGCAGTACGCGGTACACCACTCTATATAATTAACAAAGAAATATGGTATTTATTATTGGTATAAAATTTATAGTAGAAAAAAGTTTTACTCACCTTTAAGTCGTCCATGAGTCCCAGCATTTTTGCTGTTCTTTTATACTGATCTCTAGTATTGTATTGTATTCTTACCGGTCCATCACGTTTTATTAATTCACGTCTTAATTCATCATACGTAACTACAGGATACGTATAGATTTCTTTTATAAATGTTTTATCGTAATTGTCCTGTAATTATTTAAAATAAATATGATTTAAAATAGTGATTTTGTTTAACTTATTTAAGAGTTATGTGTTACCTTTAATAAATAGCTTAAGTTCATTTTTGTAAATGGTACAAATTCCTCACTTAATTTAATATAACGTAAATATTTATCGAAAAACAGGCCACTGAAAAATATAATTGAAGAAAAAATGTTTATTTTATATTTCAAATAGTATTTCAAGATCAGTTTTCTATAGAAAACTTTCTCAAAGATCAGTTTTATATAGAATACTATTTGAAAGATCAATTTTTTATAGAAAACTTTTTGAAAGATCATTTTTCTAAGAAAACATTTTGAAAGATCAGTTTTCTAAGAAAACTTTTTGAAAGATCAGTTTTCTAAGAAAACTTTTTGAAAGATCAATCCTCCATAGAAAACTTTTTGCATGATCATTTTTACAGAAAATTCTTCGCAAGATCAGTTTTCTATAGAAAACTTTTCGCAACATCAGTTTTCTATAGAAAACTTTTTGCAACATCAGTTTTCTATAGAAAACTTTTTGCAAGATCAGTTTTCTATAGAAAACTTTTCGCAAGATCAGTTTTCTATAGAAAACATTTCGCAAGATCAGTTTTCTATAGAAAACTTTTCGCAAGATCAGTTTTCTATAGAAAACATTTCGCAAGATCAGTTTTCTATAGAAAATTTTTCGCCAGTTCAGTTTTCTATAGAAAATTTTTCGCCAGATCAGTTTTCTATAGAAAACGTTTCACAAGATCAGTTTTCTATAGAAAACTTTTCGCAAAATCAGTTTTCTATAGAAAACTTTTCGCAAGATCAGTCTTCTATAGAAAACTTTTCGCAAGATCAGTCTTCTATAGAAAACTTTTCGCAAGATCAGTCTTCTATAGAAAATTCTTCGCAAGATCAGTTTTCTATAGAAAACTTTTCGCAACATCAGTTTTCTATAGAAAACTTTTCGCAAAATCAGTTTTCTATAGAAAACTTTTCGCAAGATAAATTATCTATAGAAAACTTTTCGCAAGATCAGTTTTCTATAGAAAACTTTTCGCAATATCAGTTTTCTATAGAAGACATTTAGCAAGATAAATTATCTATAGGCAACTTTTCACAAGATCAGTTTTCTATAGAAAACTTTTCGCAAGATCAGTTTTCTATAGAAAACTTTTCGCAAGATCAGTTTTCTATAGAAAACTTTTCGCAAGATCAGTTTTCTATAGAAAACTTTTCGCAAGATCAGTCTTCTATAGAAAACTTTTCGCAAGATCAGTTTTCTATAGAAAACTTTTCGCAAGATCAGTTTTCTATAGAAAACTTTTCGCAAGATCAGTTTTCTATAGAAAACTTTTCGCAAGATCAGTTTTCTATAGAAAACTTTTCGCAAGATCAGTTTTCTATAGAAAACTTTTCGCAAGATCAGTTTTCTATAGAAAACTTTTCGCAAGATCAGTTTTCTATAGAAAACTTTTCGCAAGATCAGTTTTCTATAGAAAACTTTTCGCAAGATCAGTTTTCTATAGAAAACTTTTCGCAAGATCAGTTTTCTATAGACAACATTTTGCAAGATCAGTTTTCTATAGACAACATTTTGCAAGATCAGTTTTCTATAGACAACATTTTGCAAGATCAGTTTTCTATAGACAACATTTTGCAAGATCAGTTTTCTATAGACAACATTTCGCAAGATCAGTTTTCTATAGAAAACTTTTCGCAAGATTAGTTTTCTATAGAAAACTTTTCGCAAGATTAGTTTTCTATAGAAAACTTTTCGCAAGATCAGTTTTATATAGAAAATTTTTCACAAGATCAGTTTTATATAGAAAACTTTTAGCAAGATCAGTTTTATATAGAAAACTTTTAGCAAGATCAGTTTTCTATAGAAAACTTTTCGCAAGATCAGTTTTCTATAGAAAGCTTTTCGCAAGATCAGTTTTCTATAGAAAACTTTCCGCAAGATCAGTTTTCTATAGAAAACTTTTCGCAGGATCAGTTTTCTATAGAAAACTTTTCGCAGGATCAGTTTTCTATAGAAAACTTTTCGCAATAATTTTCCTTAAAAACTTTTCGATAGATCAGTTTTCTTAAAAAAACTTTTTTAAGATCAGTTTTCATTAGAAAACTTTTCATAAGATTAGTTTTCTTGAAAATGTTTAAAACTTACTTCGAAACACCAACTTTGCCAAATGTACGAGTTCTAGATATTTCCGGACGTATGCAAACACGATTTTTCCTCTGCTCCGGATGGCGTATCCAATCATCCCAGAAGCTAAAAGCAGAAATCCCATGCAAAAACTCAGGTTTTTTCACAATTCTAATAATTTACTTACGATTTAGGCCATTTAACGGATAACTCTTGCCACAGATCTCTGGTCAACATCCAACCCAAACCGGGGAAGAAATCTGTACGATATAACAATTCCGGATGCGAGGCATCTATTAGATTTGCTTTGCCATTATCATTCCAGGCGGAAACACACCTAAAAAAGAAGAAAATATATTTTTTTATAATAATTTTTGTTTACTTTAAAATTTTGGTCTTATATACCACAAAGAAGGATCCTGCTTGAGTAAATGATGAGTACCCGAAAAGTATTCAAAGAAATCGGGTGCCACATTGAGATCATCCTCGACAATTATAACATAATCATAACCTTTGCCAAAGGTATTATTCAAAGCCCAACCATAATGTCGTGCTATTTTATAATAACCCTTGAATTTCTTTTCCTTCGGTGGTACAAATATATCCGATTGATCAGGCTGCTCTATTAGAGACACCTGTTCCTTATAGGATAAGATAACATTACGAGTAGCCTCATCACCGCAATCTTGCGAAACAATAATGGGAAATTGTTCCATACTGGGACGATACTTAATAAGATTATCCAAACATTTCGAAATGGAAACACGATTACAGGCAAATACTAATACCGGAATAATGGGTTGACCATTGCTGAGATGAGTTTTTGTGGGTTGCGTTACTGGCTGCTGAGAGTTGATAACTAAATTCGTTTCAGTATCATTGGGTTGTTCCAATATATTTTCCTGCCTCTCATTAGAGGAGGGTGGCTCCTGTATTGGTTGATTATTGGGTAAGGCTATGATGGCAATTTCTTTTTCTGTGGCTGCTTGAGCTTCCTGGGGATATTTTGTCTTTAGTATGCCTAATAGATTGACCATTAGCTTATCACTTTTGCGATACTCTTGGCGAGCATCTTGTTCTAACTGCTGCAGCCTATTGGGCGTTAATGCAGGAGAAAATTTCGTATTTGTACGGGGCACAAAGTAGAAAACTATAAATGTCCAAGTTACTAAGAAACCGGCAATAATTAAGAATTTCTTAGAGCGCATTTTTCTTTTTGTTGGCAATGTGGACTGGTTGGTTAATTTCTTTTTGATTTTTTTAGTTGTCTTAAGGTGGGAGGGAGTGGGAGTTTTGTTAATTTGACAATTTACTTTCTTTTAATGTTTTGGTCATTTAAAATGGCAACTTAATTGGTCGTTTGCTTTTGCAGACAATTCCTATTGTTTTGTTTTATATTAATTTGAATATTTATCACAGCATGTTGGAATCGTATGGTGTATATTATTGCATATTATATCGTAAGCCAGTTTTAATTATATTTAATTTCAGCCGCTGCTAAAATGTCAAACTGCTTAATGTGTATAAACAAGAATGTTGGTGGCTTTTAAACAAAATGTTATGGTTGACGTCGATACTTAATTATAGTAATTCCCATAAGGTTTCATTCAATTGCTCTATAGACATGAAACATTTAGTTCTATATACACTATTAGTTGTTGCTCTTTCTCATTTAGTTTATAAACTAAGCAAGTGTGTGATCTATTTCTAATGATTCCCAAAAAGCCAACTTCATAACCAACTCTACTACTTTTAGCGCTGCTGCTGTTGCCACCAACACCACTACCATCTGCACCAATGGCAATAATAACAATAATCAAGGGAACACGTAAACACTTCAATTAATACAATGCCGTCCGTCCATTAGCTGTTGTTGTGCTGTTAGCGATGCTGCCTGCCTTTTGAAGAAGACTCAGCCCTAAATAGTTTTTTGCCGTGTTTTGTTTTTTACAGACAATTTCTTATCATTTTAATTGTCTTCATTGCTGGCCTTGTTGTTTAATTAGTTATTTTTTGTGTCTGTTTTTTTCTATATTTTATGTATTTCTATAGTTTTATGTTTTTTTCATTTGTACCTTCAACTAACTTGCTAATTTTTAGCAAACATTTGTTATATTTATCACTTAAACTTTCTTTAATTTCTTACTCTTTTTCTGTTTACTCTGTTTTAACAAATAATCGTCAATTTCTATACGTGTTTTATTCAATAAATGTTAAAAAATCTTTGTTTTCTCTGGAGAAATGCAAAAAAAGTTGAAATTTTTGTATGTTCGACCCAGAGCCCTGCGCCGACAAATATTAACGACGGCGGCGACTGACACTGAATATGTCGGCAGCGGCTTAAAATCGACTGTAAGCCGGCTTAGTTTTCAACTACGTTTAGTTTTTAATTTTTCAACGATTTTTAAATAAAAACGGAATCCGAGAGATCAGAAAGTAGGATTTTGGAAGCAAATATATTGTTTATAACAACAAAACAGAGCAAACTCAAAAGTTGCATGAGAAATTATGCAGGGATGAATAAAAAATTCTTAAAAATTAAAAACAAATCCTTTCTCCAAGTTTTACTAGGATCTGCCGATATTTAACCCTATCTTCCATATAAAACATCTTGCAGAAAATCAGTTTCTAAAAAATTTTGCATTAAGAAAATGATCAATAACGTAAAAACAAAGATATTTTATTTGTTTATTTACTAGCTATACCCAGTGTGCTGTGCTACCCTAAAAGCAATATAAATAAGAAACCTACTTAACAATTTTGATGTTTCTAACTACAATGGTTTTCCAGATATACAATTTGTTACATATGGGAGATTCCACGCAAATTATTGCAATTTTAGCCAATTATTCCGAACGTTAATTAAGATTTTAATTTAATCTATGAAAAATTTGAATAATCTAATAGTTTCCAGATATACAAAATTTTGTATTTAATTCATATGGGAAGTGCCAAGCCCCCCCATTGAAAATCCGCCCGTTATTCTCTAAATGTTCTTCAGTAAAATTTGAAGATTCTAGCTCTAATAGTTTCTCAGATATACGAATTTTTCTATTTAATTCATATGGGAGCTCCAAGCCCCTCAGATGAAAGTCCGCCCTTTTTTCTCCAAAATGTTCAGATGAATATTAAAGTTGTTCGTGCAAAATTTGAAGAATTTAGTTATATTAGTTTCCCAGATAAACGAATTGTTGTATTCAATCATTTAAAGGGATCACAAAGAGATTGAAAAATATTCCAAAAGTTTCACTTTGAAAACATTATTAGAATGTATGAAAACTCGCAACTCTAAAGGAAGACTATTCCTATTTTAGTGGTATTTTATGATTAAAATAAGTAAGGCAAATCATATGTCGTAAAAAAGCAAATTTCGGAAGTGGTCCGATCATTAGATTAATAAGAACGTCACCGTGATTTTCGGATTAGGGACTTAAATGTGGAATTGGATCAATAATATATATAATTTAAAGTATTTTTTTTTTAATTCTACCATAATTCTATCATAATGATAACTTTTGGAATGATGTATTAGCTATAAACTGATTTTCTGTAAGAGGGTTATATTGGCGGACCGATCCTCATAATTTTATTTTTCATAAATGTGGGTTTCGGTTCCTAAAAATGTTTATTTCGTCGACATCGACATTTGAAAGCCATTTATGTGCGTTTAAGTCATTTTCTGAAGAAGATTTCATTACATATTTTCGTTCCAACAAAATTTGTTTTATTATGGTATTATTAAGTACGTAGAAAACGTTAAAATCAATTATTGAAGGGGGCAGGGTCAACTATGGCCCATAGAGATTTCGATTGATATCGAGCCCTTTTTGCAAAATGGACGTAAGCGAGATAAATTTTCGTTCAATTAGGATACTGCATGTTTAATTTTATGTTTATATATTCAATATTTTAGAAAATTCAAAAAGTACCAGTTAAAGAACGAAAAATTACCAGAAATACTCCAGTTTAAATTTTCATTCACTCAAGTCCCTGATTGCTTAGTTTTATGTTTTTAGGTTCATTATAAAAGAAAATCCAAATAGTACAAGTTGAAGAACGAAAAAGTATCAAAAAGTCCCGTTTTATATGTTCTCACTTACTCCATGTTCAATATTATAGAAAATTCAAAAAATACCTTTTGAAGAACGAAAAAGTACCAAAAAGTTCCCTTTTATATGTTATTACTTAATCCGGGCTGTACATTCCTAAATTCATGTTTCTAGGTTCAATATTATAAAAAATTCAAAAAGTACCAGTCGAAGAACGAAAAATAGAAAACTCAAAAAGTACCTTTTGAAGAACGAAAAAGTACCAAAAAGTCCACTTTTACAGATTCTCAAGTGCTTAATTACATGTTTCTAAGTTCTAAGTCAAAAAAGTACCAGTTGCAACATCGTATTGGGAGCCCGTTATTATGTATTCATATGTATAAGTTAATAAACCAAAAACAATGTTTTATAAAAAAGTATCAAAAATAGTTACAATTTTCACCCCTTAAACGTCCGAATATCCAAAAAGTACTAAATTCATATTTTTATTTGTTCGTCAAGTTATGAAGGATTCAAAAATATTTTTTGAATGTTCTCTGGTTTAAAAGATACATGGTGTGCAAAAGAAGTACCAAATTACAGTTTCTACCCGTTAATTCCCCAAAGGGGTCGAATTTGAAAAAAGTACCAGACACCTGCCCGCTTATTTTTTAAATGAACGACGATAAGCTTTAAACTGTTTTTGTATCTTTTATAGTTTAGGAGATATGAGGTTACCGAATTTACCCGTTTTTACCATTTTTAACCCCCTAATCATTCGAATTTCCAAAAATCCCGTCTAAGTGGATCTATTTGGTGGGAGACCAACCTCTTGTCCAAATTTCAGCTCTTTAGCTAAAACCGTTTAGGCTCTACGATGATGAATCAGTCAGTCAGTCAGTCAGAAACGTTAGAATTTTATATATGTATTATGTATATAGATTTCGTGCATTGAATTATACTGTAAAAACATTGTAACGTTCGACTTGAATTCAAGTTTCGTTTTCACTGGAGAATGCTATTGAATTAAAATGTATTTCAACACTTGAAATTTGAATGTTTGACTGGAATTAAACTTGTTTTAAACTTTAATTCCATCAAGAATGCTTATTTGGTATAGTGTGACAACTATAAGGGACCTAAAGCCCACAATGGTTAGTACCAATATTTTGCCCAAACAACATCTACGTACCTAGCCAGGTTATATCCTCTAGGTCCGTGAAGACATTCTCTACAAAGCTATAAATTTGTATAAAAGGCGGCTTAACAATTGTTTCTTGTAAATATTCGGCCACCATAGTGTTTGGAGACAACAAGAGCTTCACTGAAAGGCAGACATCGCGCTCTATTATGGGTGTATGGTAGTGATTCTGTTGAGATCAATTGTATAATAATAAGTATGTATCCCAAGGATACCCCCTGAATACGGCAATCAGCTTCCGTCCATTGCCTCTAGGTGATAATATACCGTTGACGCCAACGAAGCTGGTTTGAAGTCAAAGCAGCGACTCGAATTAGGCGCGAAAACACGAAAATATCTGAGGCGAAGCATATACATCGAACGTTGAGCAAAGTTCTACACCGGCCAAATTTCAATGAGCGGCTTATTATTAGATAAAAGAAAACTTGCTTAAATGAAAACAAATTATTTTTATATTGTAAAATTCCACAAATTTAGCGAAAGTATTCTGTAAATTGTACAAAATATGGCGAAATTTTCAAGCCGTATTAAGCTGAAAAATTTTCGGCGGCGGCGGCTATGACATTTTGTTCGGCGGCTAGGCTTAGTCGGCTTAAGCCGAATCGGCACAAGTCTCTGGTTCGACCAATAAAAAAATACGCGAATGAAAAATGTCAAATGTGTGTGAAAAAAGTATTTCTTTTTGTGTAGTATGTGTTGAACAGCTGTTCGAGTTATCGCTAATTATAAAAGATAAAGCAGTGTCGCTGTCAATATGACATTGATAAGGCAGTGTCACATAAATCAAAAGGAGTTGCCACATAATAATCTCTTTTAAAAATACGTTAAATTATTTACTAAAATATAAATTTAAGTGAACTAGAACAGAGCTTGAACTAAACTAAAACTGAACTAGAACTGAACTAGAACTGAACTAGAACTGAACTAGAACTGAACTAGAACTGAACTAGAACTGAACTAGAACTGAACTAGAACTGAACTAGAACTGAACTAGAACTGAACTAGAACTGAACTAGAACTGAACTAGAACTGAACTAGAACTGAACTAGAACTGAACTAGAACTGAACTAGAACTGAACTAGAACTGAACTAGAACTGAACTAGAACTGAACTAGAACTGAACTAGAACTGAACTAGAACTGAACTAGAACTGAACTAGAACTGAACTAGAACTGAACTAGAACTGAACTAGAACTGAACTAGAACTGAACTAGAACTGAACTAGAACTGAACTAGAACTGAACTAGAACTGAACTAGAACTGAACTAGAACTGAACTAGAACTGAACTAGAACTGAACTAGAACTGAACTAGAACTGAACTAGAACTGAACTAGAACTGAACTAGAACTGAACTAGAACTGAACTAGAACTGAACTAACTGAACTAGAACTGAACTAGAACTGAACTAGAACTGAACTAGAACTGAACTAGAACTGAACTAGAACTGAACTAGAACTGAACTAGAACTGAACTAGAACTGAACTAGAACTGAACTAGAACTGAACTAGAACTGAACTAGAACTGAACTAGAACTTGAACTAGAACTGAAACTAGAACTGAACTAGAACTGAACTAAACCTGAACTAGAACTGAACTAGAACGAACTAGAACTAGAACTGAACTAGAACTGAACTAGAACTGAACTAGAACTGAACTAGAACTGAACTAGAACTGAACTAGAACTGAACTAGAACTGAACTAGAACTGAACTAGAACTGAACTAGAACTGAACTAGAACTGAACTAGAACTGAACTAGAACTGAACTAGAACTGAACTAGAACTGAACTAGAACTGAACTAGAACTGAACTAGAACTGAACTAGAACTGTAACTAGAACTGAACTAGACACTGAACTAACTAGAACTAGAACGAACTAGAACTGAACTAGAACTGAACTAGAACTGAACTAGAACTGAACTAGAACTGAACTAGAACTGAACTAGAACTGAACTAGAACTGAACTAGAACTGAACTAGAACTGAACTAGAACTGACCTAGAACATGAACTAGACTGAACTAGAACTGAACTAGAACTGAACTAGAACTGAACTAGAACTGAACTAGAACTGAACTAGAACTGAACTAGAACTGAAACTAGAAACTGAACTAGAACTGAACTAGAACTGAACTAGAACTGAACTAGAACTGAACTAGAACTGAACTAGAACGAACTAGAACTGAACTAGAACTGAACTAAGAACTGAACTAGAACTGAACTAGAACTGAACTAGAACTGACTAGAACTGAACTAGAACTGAACTAGAACTGAACTAGAACTGAACTAGAACTGAACTAGAACTGAACTAGAACTGAACTAGAACTGAACTAGAACTGAACTAGAACTCGAACTAGAACTGAACTAAACTGAACTAGAACTGAACTAGAACTGAACTAGAACTGAACTAGAACTGAACTAGAACTGAACTAGAACTGAACTAGAACTAGAACTGAACTAGAACTGAACTAGAACAGAATTAGAACTGAACTAGAACTGAACTAGAACTGAACTAGAACTGAACTAGAACTGAACTAGAACTGAACTAGAACTGAACTAGCAGAACTAGAACTGAACTAGAACTGAACTAGAACTGAACTAGAACTGAACTAGAACTGAACTAGAACTGAACTAGAACAGAACTAGAACTGAACTAGAACTGAACTAGAACTGAACTAGAACTGAACTAGAACTGAACTAGAACTGAACTAGAACTGAACTAGAACTGAACTAGAACTGAACTAGAACTGAACTAGAACTGAACTAGAACTGAACTAGAACTGAACTAGAACTGAACTAGAACTGAACTAGAACTGAACCAGAACTGAACTAGCGCTGAACTAGAACTGAACTAGAACTGAACTAGAACTGAACTAGACTGAACTAGAACTGAACTAGAACTGAACTAGAACTGAACTAGAACTGAACTAGAACTGAACTAGAACTGAACTAGAACTGAACTAGAACTGAACTAGAACTGAACTAGAACTGAACTAGAACTGAACTAGAACTGAACTAGAACTGAACTAGAACTGAACTAGAACTGAACTAGAACTGAACTAGAACTGAACTAGAACTGAACTAGAACTAGAACTGAACTAGAACTGAACTATAATTAACTAGGACTGATAATTCAGTTTTAAATGAGCCAAAATCGCTTAATTAACTTTTTTGTTAAAAACGCCAATTTGACATCCTTTTTCAAACGGCTATCTCTAATTTAAAAATTTTTCCAAAAATTTCAAATAAATTTACACAACTTTAATTTGTCGTTAGGCTTTAGTTTTTATTATTATTATTATTTATTGTTATTTATTTATCATATATAATTTACTTTTTTTATAAGTTTATAATTAGTTAATATAATCCTGTGTTTATTTTAAAACTTACTTAACATTTAAACTTAGTAGACTAGTAATGCTTAATTAAGATTTTTATATACGTTTTTATTTTGTTGTTCATTTCTTATATATTCAGCATTTTACAATATTATTTATTAATAAAAAACTACATATTTTGAAAAAATTAAGTTTTAAATTTTATAAAAAAGAAAAATGCCACAACTTATATGTATTTAAAAATACCATAAACTACTAAATAAATGTTAACTAATAAGTTTTTTTTATTATTAATATTAAAGTCAATTTTTATTAATAAAGAAAATAAGCAGTTATACGAAAAAATGGCAGTTAAATGTTAATTTTTTATGTTTTAAACTGATTAGATAATAAACTATATACTTTACAATATTTTATCGTTTTTTTTGTTTGTTTTTATTTTAATTTTAGGTGTCAATTTAACAAAAATATTTTATTTTTATTAAATTTAATGTTAAGTTTTTCTAAAATATTTTCATTAAATTAAGACTTTTTTCTTACTAAAGGGAAAATGTTTTACTTTACAAGTATTATTTACGTTTTTTTTATTTTAGTTTTCGTTTTTTTTTGTTTTTTGTTAATTTTGTTTTATATTTACAAAAATTTACATAAAACTGTTAAGATTATGGACAATATCACGGCTCCTGTAGAAGTTATTGCATTAACCGTATTTCTGGCATCTTCCAATTCTTTCTCATCGACCACAAAAGCTGGCACCGATAAAGGCAGTTGTTCGAAAGTTTTCACCAAAGGCTCCTCAAAGTTTCCGCGACTGTTGCGTGCCAAACGTTGATTGGCTAATTTCAATTCGCGAAGTTTTTCCTCAAGGCGCAAGACTTCATCTGAAAGTAAAAGAAAATATTTTAAAATACACTTATTAAGTTTAAATTAACTTTGATTTTAAAATAACTGAACTGAACAAGAACTGAAGTAGAATTGAACTAGAACTGAAGTAGAACTGAACTATAACTGAACTATAACTGAACTAGAACGGAACTAGAACTGAACTAGAACTGAACTAGAACTGAACTAGAACTGAACTAGAACTGAACTAGAACTGAACTAGAACTGAACTAGAACTGAACTAGAACTGAACTAGAACTGAACTAGAACTGACCTATAACTGACCTATAACTGAACTAGAACTGAACTAGAACTGAACTAGAACTGAACTAGAACTGAACTAGAACTGAACTAGAACTGAACTAGAACTGAACTAGAACTGAACTAGAACTGAACTAGAACTGAACTAGAACTGAACTAGAACTGAACTAGAACTGAACTAGAACTGAACTAGAACTGAACTAGAACTGAACTAGAACTGAACTAGAACTGAACTAGAACTGAACTAGAACTGAACTAGAACTGAACTAGAACTGAACTAGAACTGAACTAGAACTGAACTAGAACTGAACTAGAACTGAACTAGAACTGAACTAGAACTGAACTAGAACTGAACTAGAACTGAACTAGAACTGAACTAGAACTGAACTAGAACTGAACTAGAACTGAACTAGAACTGAACTAGACTAGAACTGAACTAGAAATGAACTAGAACTGAACTAGAACTGAACTAGAACTAACTAGAACTGAACTAGAACTGAACTAGAACTGAACTAGAACTGAACTAGAACTGAACTAGAACTGAACTAGAACTGAACTAGACTGAACTAGACTGAACTAGAACTGAACTAGAACTGAACAAGACTGAACTAGAACTGAAATAGAACTGAACAAGAACTGAACTAAAAATGAACCAGAACTGAACTAGAACTGAAAAAAAACTAGAACATGACGTAGAACTGAACTAGAACTGAACTAGAACTGAAGTAGAACTGAACTAGAACTGAACTAGAACTGAAGTAGAACTGAACTAGAACTGAACTAGAACTGAAATTAGAACTGAACTAGAACTGAACTAGAACTGAACTAGAACTGAACTAGAACTGAACTAGAACTGAACTAGAACTGAACTAGAACTGAACTAGAACTGAACTAGAACTGAACTAGAACTGAACTAGAACTGAACTAGAACTGAACTAGAACTAGAACTGAACTAGAACTGAACTAGAACTGAACTAGAACTGAACTAGAACTGAACTAGAACTGAACTAGAACTGAACTAGAACTGAACTAGAACTGAACTAGAACTGAACTAGAACCTTTAGTTTCCGAAAAAGCTATTTCAAATATTTCCCTCATAAAATTTATACTCACTTCTATTAACACCCTCCAAATCATTAATCTTAATAAACATGGCCAATGAAATTTCATAAACTTTATTTGTATCCATCAAAGGAGTCATCATGGCATCGGAGGTATCACGTCTTCTGCGACCATAACCAATTTGACCATTTGAACACTGAGTACCCAGACATTTATCCAGGCAAACATTAACGGTGGCGCGGAATTGAACATACGAAGAATCGGGGAATTTGAAAGCCTTAAATTTAGCACTCAAGGTATCACCATCAATGGTATTGAAATTTTCAAAAAGATAAGGATCAACAGTGCAGCTAAAAAAGAACCATTATAGATAATAACAATTTTAATCCAGAACTGACTCTTTCAAATTACTTACCCCTTAAAAATAATAGTTTCCGACAACAGTCTGGTATCGGTAACCTCCAAATAATTAACACCCAAACCATATATAGGTGCTGACTCCTGATCCAAAGTAATTTCCATGGTTAGAGGAGTGCCGGGTGTAACAGTCAGATCACCAGTAACACGTTTGCCATTTTGACTAACACCAATGGCCAAACGAGGCTCGGGTGCCTTTTTGGTTAAAGAGGTGGTAATTTCTATGTCTCTGTAAAGAAGAACACAGATAAATTATTAAAAACCCCCTTAATATTTCTTATTAAAGACTTTAACCCTTTTGGTTAGTGTCTCTTCCGAGAAAAACAAATCTTCTTTCAAACCATATTATTATCATATCTACGTGCTGCTATAACACACTCTAAAATACTATTACGAGTTTATTATACATACATGTATGATGATTGTGGCATTAAAAAGGAAATGATCTTGTAAATGTAAACGAATGCTGCAATTTAATATTAAATTGTACACGTATTATGGCCATTTTGTTGGCAATTATCGATCACTGTGGCATCCATGTAATTATTATAGAGCACAGTGGTTTAGAGGCTTTGTTTTTGTAATAATTCGGTATATCGAAAATATCGTAACGAAATATAACACAATCGGCTTTGAGACGTTTTTATGGGCATCTCTAGTTGTTCGGCTCGGTAGAACCTGCGTTCTAAAGATTTTAATATGCGTTCTAAAGATTTTAGTATGGAAAAACTTTATCTGGATAATGTTTTTTATAGAAAGGCTTTATCCTGATAATGTTTTGAATAGAAAAACTTTATCCGGATAATATTTTGTATAGAAAAGCTTTATCTGGATAAAGTTTTTTATAGAAATGCATTATTCTGATAAAGTTTTATGTAGAAAAGCTTTATCCGGATAGCAGAGCAGAAAATTTTATTCGAAATTTATTAAAACAAGCTTTAAAGTTTTTGTTGAAAAATATTATCCGCATAAAAATTTTTATGGAAAAGCTTTATTCGAAAAAAGATTTTTATAGAAAAGCTCTATTTGGATAAATGTTTGTATAGAAAAACTTTATTCTGATAAAAGTTTTTAAAGAAAAGCTTTAACCGGATAAAGGCTTCTTTATAAAAGTTTTATCACCATAAAAGTTTTTATAGAAAGAGATTTTTACACAGAAGCATTATCCGCAAGAAAAATTTTCTAGAAGAGCATTAAGCGGATAAAGACTATAATATTTAAGCTTAACCGCATGAGGATTCTTTAATGTTTTTCTACGAGATCCAAAATTTTTATAAATATCATTTCTAAACCACTGTGCAGGTGTTTAAATTATGTTTTCGTGCATACAACATAAATAAAACTGAAGCTTTTGAATAAGATCATTATAACTAATATGAGCTTTTGCGTATACAAGCACATGTTGCTATTAAAAATTTACGTATTAAGTTTTGGTCTTGATCCATCTATTGTCAGAACTTCGTGCTCGATAAGTAGAAGACTAGTAATATGGGATCAGTATGATTTGGGTAATAATATAGAATTTCGCAGCTTTAAAGCTTAAAATGAGTTCATTAACTTTTCCAACTGTTAAATATTTAAGCTTAAAGCACAAATGAATTCATGTTTGTTAAAGTGCATTATCATTATCTCGATAAATTATTTATACTTGTTAATATTTAATTTGAATCTCCACTATCAAGATCAATGATATCACTTTGTTTATCTCCCATAGAGTCTAGACAGCTTTGAAGATTAATTAAAAATTACACCCAACTGTCATTTTAATATCTCCAGCATTAGATTCAACGATAAGATAAATATATAAAATAAAATTATTTTGACATTTCTTGCCAACATTCCTCTTCTGGGAAATGACATTTAAATGCTTTTAGCTTTTTTGGTTTTGGCTCATCTCGCAACAAATAAATGCATGATGTCATTGATTGCTAAGATTTTTTCATTCTTTCTTTGTTTATCATTGAAATATTTTTGAAGAATCAAGTTTTGAATTTAAAACCAAAATAATTTGCGCAAAATAATAATAAAAAAAACTTACTCTGGTTCTTGAAATCCAGCAGGTAAAACATCACGTCTAACAATGCCATGATGTTGCAATTGTTGAGACTGCTGCTGCAACTGATCATGTTGCTGTTGTTGGTATATAAAACGTGGTTGCTCTTGGCTAGTTTCATTCATCATTAAATTAAAAACCGGACCACTGGTAATGCATTTAACACTAACAATCTCTTTGCCATTTGTGGACTCAATAATGATTTTGTGGTAATAAACTTTTTTACCCTAAAAAGATGGAAAAGAAACAGAAATTCTAAATAAAAAATAATAAAAATATTAAATAAAAATTTTAATAAAAATAGAATAGAAGCAAAAATAAACAAGCAAAAAATTAAAATTAGTTAAGACCGATCTTGTAATAAGCTTCAGTGAAACAAACTTTATCTGGAAAGTGATTTCTTTAGAAAAACTTTATCCAGTGAAAGATTTCATAAAAAAACATTACATGGGTAAAGATTAATTAGAATGGAACTAGAACTGAACTAGAACTGAACTAGAACTAAAATAGAACTGAACTAGAACTGAACTAGAACTGAACTAGAACTGAACTAGAACTGAACTAGAACTGAACTAGAACTGAACTAGAACTGAACTAGAACTGAACTAGAACTGAACTAGAACTGAACTAGAACTGAACTAGAACTGAACTAGAACTGAACTAGAATTGAACTAGAACTGAACTAGAACTGAACTAGAACTGAACTAGAAATGAACTAGAACTGAACTAGAACTGAACTAGAACTGAACTAGAACTGAACTAGAACGGAACTAGAACTGAACTAGAACTGAACTAGAACTGAACTAGAACTGAACTAGAAACTGAACTAGAACTGAACTAGAACTGAACTAGAACTGAACTAGAACTGAACTAAACTAGAACTGAACTAGGACTGAACTAGAACTGAACTAGAACTGAACTAGAACTGAACTAGAACTGAACTAGAACTGAACTAGAACTGAACTAGAACTGAACTAGAACTGAACTAGAACTGAACTAGAACTGAACTAGAACTGAACTAGAACTGAACGAGAACTGAACTAGAACTGAACTAGAACTGAACTAGAACTGAACTAGAACTGAACTAGAACTGAACTAGAACTGAACTAGAACTGAACTAGAACTGAACTAGAACTGAACTAGAACTGAACTAGAACTGAACTAGAACTGAACTAGAACTGAACTAGAAATGAACTAGAACTGAACTAGAACTGAACTAGAACTGAAATAGAACTGAACTAGAACTGAACTAGAACTGAACTAGAACTGAACTAGAACTGAACTAGAACTGAACTAGAACTGAACTGGAACTGAACTAGAACTGAACTAGAACTGAACTAGAACTGAACTAGAACTGAACTAGAACTGAACTAGAACTGAACTAGAACTGAACTAGAACTGAACTAGAACTGAACTAGAACTGAACTAGAACTGAACTAGAACTGAACTAGAATGAACTAGAACTGAACTGAATGAACTAGAACTGAACTAGAACTGAAACTGAACTCGAATGAACTAGAACTGAACTAGAACGAATAGATGAACTAGAAACTGAACTAGAACTGAACTAGAAACTGAACTAGAACTGAACTAGAACTGAACTAGAACTGAACTAGAACTGAACTAGAACTGAACTAGAACTAACGAACTGAACTAGAACTGAACTAGAACGAACTAGAAACTAACTAGAACTGAACTAGAACTGAACTAGAACTGAACCGAACTGAACTAGAACTGAACTAGAATGAACTAGAATGAACTAGAACTGAACTAGAACTGAACTAGAACTGAACTAGAACTGAACTAGAACTGAACTAGAACTGAAACTAGAACTGAACAGAACTAGAACTGAACTAGAACTGAACTAGAACTGAAACTAGAATGAACTAGAACTGAACTAGAACTGACTAGAACTGAACTAGAACTGAACTAGAACTGAACTAGAACTGAACTAGAACTGAACTAGAACTGAACTAGAACTGAACTAGAACTAGAACTGAACTAGAACTGAACTAGAACTAAACTGAACTAGAACTGAACTAGAACTGAACTAGAACTGAACTAGAACTGAACTAGACTGAACTAGAACCTGAACTAGAACTGAACTAGAACTGAACTAGAACTGAACTAGAACTGAACTAGAACTGAACTAGAACTGAACTAGAACTGAACTAGAACTGAACTAGAACTGAACTAGAAACAGATGGACGGACAACCTTAAGTGTACTAAGTAAGTGAATTTTATCACTCAGTTTTACTTAACAGTGAATGGAAGACCATTATTTTTAAATATAACAAACATTAGCATAAACCCATAATACCACTTCCATGGTATAGTGCTGTACCGTAAAATAATGCGTGTGGTCAGTTTAATATGATTGTTACTCATGGCCAAAAACTTAAAGCCATAATAGGTGTGTTTACTATTGTTGTTGTGGTTATTTATTTATATTTTTTATTGTAATTTACATACCGTTAACTGATTAACCATACGTGTAACACCGCACTCATAGAAATCACTTAACGATAAACGAAAAACGGCCAAAGAACCGTTGATTTCAGGATGACACCGTTCATCTGGATAGCCCTTAAGGCCTTCCAAATAGATTTGTGGTTTATCATTATTACTACTGACACTGCCACTACTTGTGCCACTGCCGCTGGTGCTGCTGCTGTCTGTTGTGGTTATGGGTTCTGGCAGGCCAATTTCCACGCGCATTAAATCTTCACTACAATGAACTTTGTGAGTGCCTAGAATAAATAATAAGACAAGAATGTGTGTAAAAATATTATGCTTATGAATATTATTTATATAATTTTTTGTAGAAACTTGTTTTAAATTTTTATTTTATTTATTTTATTAACCATATGACAACCAACAAAAATGATTGCATAAGTGTTAATTTAAATAACAATGTATGAATATGAAAAGACCAGCAGTAACCTCTCCTCTGCAAAAAGAATAATAAATAAAAATCAAAAGATTTAAGCTACAAACTTGCAAAGTAAAATACGTCAAAGTAGAGAAAAAAAGAAAGGCGGTTTGGTTTGTTGTGTAAAAAAACCAAAAAGACGTGCAAGAACTTTCAGATGTGGGTAGCACAAGCAGCAAAGCAAACAAAATACTTTTGACACATACAGACATATGTTAAGATATTTTTTCATTTACTATCTATCTAATAATTAATATTGGAAAAATGTACTTGTTGACATGTATAAGATTTGCATAGAATTCAAAAAAACATTTTAGTATTTCAAACATTTCTCTGTCTCAATGTGGGAATTAGAGAAATGGATTCGAATCTTGTCTAGATATAGAATTTTCAGGAAATACTTTATACCATATAAAATTTTTATAGAAAAGCTGCATCCGAATACATTTTACTATAGAAAAACCTATTCCATATAAAAAATGTTATACAAAATTCCAGTATATTTTCAGTTCTAGTTAAGTTCAAGTTCAGTTCTAGTTCAGTTCTAGTTCAGTTCTAGTTCAGTTCTAGTTCAGTTCTAGTTCAGTTCTAGTTCAGTTCTAGTTCAGTTCTAGTTCAGTTCTAGTTCAGTCTAGTTCAGTTCTAGTTACTAGTTCAGTTCTAGTTCAGTTCTAGTTCAGTTCTAGTTCAGTTCTAGTTCAGTTCTAGTTCAGTTCTAGTTCAGTTCTAGTTCAGTACTAGTTCAGTTCTAGTTCAGTTCTAGTTCAGTTCTAGTTCAGTTCTAGTTCAGTTCAAGTTCAATTCTAGTTCAGTTCTAGTTCAGTTCTAGTTTAACGCTAGTTCAGTTCTAGTTCAGTTTTAGTTCAGTTCTGTCAGTAGTTCAGTTCTAGTTCAGTTCTAGTTCAGTTCTAGTTCAGTTCTAGTACAGTTCTAGTTCAGTTCTAGTCAGTTCTAGTTCAGTTCTAGTCAGTTCTAGTTCAGTTCTAGTTCAGTTCTAGTTCAGTTCTAGTTCAGTTCTAGTTCAGTTCTAGTTCAGTTCTAGTTCAGTTCTAGTTCAGTTCTAGTTCAGTTCTAGTTCAGTTCTAGTTCAGTTGCTAGTTCAGTTCTAGTTCAGTTCTAGTTCAGTTCTAGTTCAGTTCTAGTTCAGTTCTAGTTCAGTTCTAGTTCAGTTCTAGTTCAGTTCTAGTTCAGTTCTAGTTCAGTTCTAGTTCAGTTCTAGTTCAGTTCTAGTTCAGTTCTAGTTCAGTTCTAGTTCAGTTCTAGTTCAGTTCTAGTTCAGTTCTAGTTCAGTTCTAGTTCAGTTAGTTCAGTTCAGTTCAGTTCTAGTTCAATTCTTGTTCAGTTCTAGTTCAGTTCTAATTCAGTTCTAGTTCAGTTCTATTTCAGTTCTAGTTCAGTTCTATTTCAGTTTTAGTTCAGTTCTAGTTCAGTTCTAGTTCAGTTCTAGTTCAGTTCTAGTTCAGTTCTAGTTCAGTTCTAGTTCAGTTCTAGTTCAGTTCTAAGTTCAGTTCTAGTTCAGTTCTAGTTCAGTTCTAGTTCAGTTCTAGTTCAGTTCTAGTTCAGTTCTAGTTCAGTTCTAGTTCAGTTCTAGTTCAGTTCTAGTTCAGTTCTAGTTCAGTTCTAGTTCAGTTCTAGTCAGTTCTAGTTCAGTTCTAGTCAGTTCTAGTTCAGTTCTAGTTCAGTTCTAGTTTCAGTTCTAGTTCAGTTCTAGTTCAGTTCTAGTTCAGTTCTAGTCAGTTCTAGTTCAGTTCTAGTTCAGTTCTAGTTCAGTTCTAGTTCAGTTCTAGTTCAGTTCTAGTTCAGTTCTAGTTCAGTTTCTAGTTCAGTTCTAGTTCAGTTCTAGTTCAGTTCTAGTTCAGTTCTAGTTCAGTCTAGTTCAGTTCTAGTTCAGTTCTAGTTCAGTTCTAGTTCAGTTCTAGTTCAGTTCTAGTTCAGTTCTAGTTCAGTTCTAGTTCAGTTCTAGTTCAGTTCTAGTTCAGTTCTAGTTCAGTTCTAGTTTCAGTTCTAGTTCAGTTCTAGTTCAGTTCTAGTTCAGGTCTAGTTCAGTTCTAGTTCAGTTCTAGTTCAGTTTCTAGTTCAGTTCTAGTTCAGTTCTAGTTCAGTTCAGTTCAGTTCTAGTTCAGTTCTAGTTCAGTTCTAGTTCAGTTCTAGTTCAGTTCTAGTTCAGTTCTAGTTCAGTTCTAGTTCAGTTCTAGTCAGTTCTAGTTCAGTTCTAGTTCAGTTCTAGTTCAGTTCTAGTTCAGTCTAGTTCAGTTCTAGTTCAGTTCTAGTTCAGTTCTAGTTCAGTTCTAGTTCAGTTCTAGTTCAGTTCTAGTTCGTTCTAGTTCAGTTCTAGTTCAGTTCTAGTTCAGTTCTAGTTCAGTTCTAGTTCAGTTCTAGTTTCAGTTCTAGTTCAGTTCTAGTTCAGTTCTAGTTCAGTTCTAGTTCAGTTCTAGTTCGTTCGTTAGTTCTAGTTCAGTTCTAGTTCAGTTCAGTTCAGTGAGTTCAGTTCTAGCTCAAGTATATTTCAGTTCACTATATCGAGGGACTATATTCAATAGTCTCTATCTGTCATTTTTTATGAAAATAAGATTTTGATGGCAAACTACCCAGCAAACTATCCCGCATCAGTAGCATAAATTTCAAAAGAAAAAATATTTTTTTGGCAATTTTATAGCAGTTCTAGTTCAGTTCTAGTTCAGTTCTAGTTCAGTTCTAGTTCAGTTCTAGTTCTCAGTTCTAGTTCAGTTCTAGTTCAGTTCTAGTTCAGTTCTAGTTCAGTTCTAGTTCAGTTCTAGTTCAGTTCTAGTTCAGTTCTAGTTCAGTTCTAGTTCAGTTCTAGTTCAGTTCTAGTTCAGTTCTAGTTCAGTTCTAGTTCAGTTCTAGTTCAGTTCTAGTTCAGTTCTAGTTCAGTTCTAGTTCAGTTCTAGTTCAGTTCTAGTTCAGTTCTAGTTCTAGTTCAGTTCTAGTTCAGTTCTAGTTCAGTTCTAGTTCAGTTCTAGTTCAGTTCTAGTTCAGTTCTAGTTCAGTTCTAGTTCAGTTCTAGTTCAGTTCAGTTCAGTTGAGTTCAGTTCTAGCTCAAGTATACTTCAGTTCACTATATCGAGGGACTATATTCAATAGTCTCTATCTGTCATTTTTATGAAAATAAGATTTTGATGGCAAAATACCCAGCAAACTATCCCGCATCAGTAGCATAAATTTCAAAAGAAAAAAATATTTTTTGGCAATTTTATAGCAATTTTTAAATTTCTCTATCTTATAAAAAGAAAAATTCTGAATGCAAAACTCTCTATCTTATCCAAAAATTGCTTCAAACTCTATTATTTTGGATAATTTTCTATTGCAAAACAATTGTTTTTACTAATTTGAACATGCTGGACACAAATCCGCAAAAATATTTGAAATCGGTTTAATAGTTTTCGAGATATCGCACATTATAATACTAATTTGATTAATTTTATTCCGTGTTTAACCATATAACATTGATTTTGGACCAAAACCTTATAATCTGCTGCTTTTTCAACAATTTGGTTTATATTACTTCATTAAATTGCATAAAATATAATATTAATTGATATTAAATCAAATAAAAAAATTTATATTTCTATGAAAAACTGTCTATCTGAAGGTTGTAAAAAAAAATTTCGTAGAAAAAAAGCTCTATCTGATATAAATTTGTGAATAATTTTGCAAATAATGCAAAATTTTAAATTCTTTTTATATAACAATTTAGAATATGGTCTTAAAAATATATTGTAGAAGAAAAAAATCAAAAATCTTCATGAACTAGCTAAATAAACAGTTTTTTTGCTCTCCTGAAAACTTGTGTTATTTTAGATAGAGACTATTGAATATAGTCCCTCGATATTCTAAACATTGTTCTGATATAAATAGTGATTAAATGGATCAGCTTCTAGTAGAATGTAGAATTGGTGAAAAATTTTAATTTTAATTGTTTGCTGGACCAGTTTGCATTTAGACCTCCTATAGAAATAAATTAATATTAATATTAATTTTAATCTACTTCACCTTAAACTTTTCAACGAAACTTCCTGTAAAATAACAACATCATTAATTTAAATTAAAAACCTATAAAATATACAGTTTTTGCAATTATTTGTCAAATCTTTTGGAGTAGAAAAATAAAGAAAAAAAAAAAAAAACTATTAATAAATTGTTCTTAATTACCCTTATAAACAAAATCCCCTCAACTGCAGAAAACCTGCAAAATAGCTTTAAGAAAGTCAAGCTGCTTAAAGCCTCAACTTGCTATTTTTGTTGGTGTTGTTGTTGTTGTTGTTGTTCTCCTTCTTATAAACAATTTATTAGAAAATTTTTATCAAATTCTTTTAATCTTGTAAAGCAACCTCATAAATTGTCCATATATACCCGCTGAGTATGATAGAGACCAATGAACGCATAAAACTTTTAACTGAAAAAAATATATTCAAATGCATAAAACTACGCACTTGTTGTCTAACCAAGTACATGGGTGTGTATGTGTTTGAGTGTTTCTTTGACATTAAGACCAAAGTTATTTGCATATAATACTAGAGCTGGCAAAATGTTTAAATTATGTGGAGCGTTACTAAATAACGGTCAAGCTAAAGAACAGGATTATAGAGATTTTTTCTTGGGGTTTAAGAAGAAAACTTCTAAAAAAAAGTTACAATTTGCATACATTTTATAGAGATTTTAAAGTTTGCAAAAAAAAATATATATATATATATATATTGTGTAACAAAATTCACACACTCTAGAGAAAAATCTATAACAAAGTTTGTGTCTTAAGTTTTTTTATTTGGCTTTATAGCAAGTATGGTTGTGTGAGTATTT